AGATTCTTTACATAAAAATACTAGACAGGTGTTTCGGGTTTCGCAAAACTACGCTATTATATTTAGTAAGCTTTAATAATAATAACGAATTACATCATTTAATAGTATTTAGTGCACACAATTAATACAACACAATTAATGGTAACGAATTACAACATTGATTCTGTAAGCTATTGTTTTATTGCAGTAACCAACAACTATTTATTCATTAATGTATTTGTTCCTTAGCGACCTATGTTGGGGGTTTCTCTTAGGGATAGGATTCCAAATAAAATATTACAGCAAATAACAAAAGTATCCGAAATAGCTTGGACTATGAGCAGTGGACTGCCACAGGCAGATGATGTATTAATCATCATCACTGAATTAAAAATCTATTGTATCATGCAATATTATATGAATAAAATTTAACGAAAACAAGAAAAAGTAGGTATACACTTTCTATGTCATTTTAATGTATCGATTTTGTATAGGCACATGTTATAGAAATTGTCATGTATACTTAAAAATGATATTGGAAGTGTAAACTTTTTACTGATTTGTTTTGTTTATATTACTGTGAAACCAAAGTATACCCAGTTTTGACACAGTTTGTGGTTAGATTATTTGGAAAAAAATCCGTACATATATTTTTTTAATGGTAGAAGTAAAGATACTTTAGAAAATGTGACAATGTATATATATTATTGCTCGTGACTGTACACCCGAAACACCAAAGGCGTTACAAGTCCGTTACCGGCCTTTTGGGAATTGGGAATTGGAGGATTTTGGGGAATTCGGGGATTGAGGAGACTTGAGAGGGGGGTATTTGAGCCTCCGATAATAATTTGTTCAAATCTCAATAAAGTACTAATAACTGTTGAAGGCAATATCAATAGTTTTGAATTAACGCAATTCATTCCACCAATATAGTGTTATTTACGTTTGTTTGAAATTAAACGTTACTCAGAATTAATTGCTGTTAATCTAGTTAGTTGTTTACGCTTTATTAATATTAGCTCACAATGTTAATAATAATATAATAGAAAGTGTACTTTAAGTACAGTTCGGCCATCCTCTTCAGAGAATAACAATTTTGTTGTTTATTTTAATGCTGATTAGAGTGCAAAATGGTGTGACTAGACAAGTGGATTACAATATTCATACTCGTTATCTATCGGTTATCGAAACATATCGGATTGACATTATCTATCTTCTCAAATATTGCTTAATGAAATTCAAATATCTATAATACATTTTACTGCCTCGTTGACCGAGTGGTCGCAAGTGCGCCTGCCGGGCAAGGGGTCTCGGGTTCGATTCCTGGGTCAGGGAGAGTATTAATGGGTTTTTTAAAACAATTTTCATTAGTATCACAGTGTCTAGAATTATGCCTTGTATATGGCAATTTCACCCCCTATTACATGGGACTCTGTTATGTTATAGTACATTTTACAATCATGAGGTGTTCAAGTATACGTATTACCTGGAGAAGCAGTAAGCGTAGCAGTAATATCAGCAATATATCAGGTGCCACTCGAGTGTTGATACCAAAACCACGAAAACTCCTTTATTGAAGGACCTGATTTTCTTAGTAGTCTCAATTTTTTATTTTGGAACTGGTGAAACTTCTCATTATAACTTATTCTGTACCACGAGCGATTACTTCTTATGCAAATATAATCTCTCCAGCAACATTGGCACTTGATTAGAGGCTCAAATTTTGAAACACGAGCGACGTCTTGGACTAACACTATATAGTTGTTTAGTAAAGGCTTAAGTGATTAGTGTTCTAACTTACAAAATTCAATCAATTAAGTTCATGCCATCGTCCAAGTTACAAGGATCATCTAACGGTTTAATGAAATGCAAACTAATCGTGAAGATCATAAGGTTTATAATTATTTGAGGTTCGAGGTATCAAGATATGTAGGTATTGCAGAAAATATATTACATCAGATCAACAGCCTTTTTTTTAAGGGGAGAAAATCATCGAATGACTATTCCCGCCTGGGTGAGGCGGGAGAGTGTCAGAATCTTACTGACTAAAAGCCGCTGCAGCCCGTTAAGTCCTACGCGGTCTCGTATCGGCTTCAACCCTATTGGGCCCGATCCGTGGTGGTCTTATGGCTCTTTGAAGCGCGCGCGGAATGTGACGCGCCGTACGCTCGCATCTGGTTCTAGTCAGGGCGGCTAGCTACCCATCCTCGCCGTCCGCAGGCCCGTGCTTACGGTGGCTGGATATTGTGCCGCCATCCCCAACGCCCGGAATATCTTTCACGACGCGACTGCTGGGTTGTGAGGAGGCAACGATTCACTGCCTCACGCGCCCCGCCTCCTCCTTAGTTATCACCATTATCATACCATATCACCATCAACAGCCTATAAGTAGCCACTGCTGACCAAAAGCCTTTTCACGCACGGAGAAGGTAGCATTATTCAACACGCTTGCACAATGAGGGTTGCCAATTTCTAACTTATAATAAGAAATTATTAAACACGAGGTTTCCTCACGATGTTTTCTTTCAACGTTTGTCAGAGGTGACTAAATAATTTTAGAAAGTACTTACATAATTTACCACATTTAACTCAGATAATGTAATATCATAATATAACATCACGCCTTTTATCCCCGAAGGGGTAGACAGAGGTGCACATTATGGCACTTAATGCTACAATGTAACACCCACTTTTCACTATTTATGTTATGAGTCCCATGTAATATGGAGTGATCCTATGGCAATATACTGGGCACAATACTCCCTCAATTCTCTCTCAAATGTGGGAGAAAATGTAATACCCTGTCAAAATCTATTTACCTGGCATTGATGGATTCTTATACACATTAAGTAGACAGAAACATATTTGCTTTCGCGCGTTACATTTGAATGATGGATAAATACATATTGGGTTGGTTACCTAAGAAAGTACTTACGTAGGTGTTTTTTGCGAAGAATTTTCGTATCAATTTTACATGGTAACTTGGAAATTGTAACCTTTAAAATGTGGTTGTAATTTTGTTTATATGGTTTGAGATGTTTCTGTAAAAGGTCTAAAATAATCTGAATTCCTTTAGTCACATGCGAGTGTGAGTAGTTTTCCTAATCAAAAAGTTCTGTAACGCGTTACTTTTGGCAGTCAAATTAAAAGTATCCATTTTATATATGAGTATTTAAGGAATTCGTAAATGAATTTATATTGAAAACGAATCAAAACATTATAATAACATAGTTTTGAGTGTTTCTATTATATTATTTCGAGAAATAGGTGTGACAAAAGGAAACATGTTTTTCATAATTAATGGAAAATATATCAAACAGAAGTGTCACCTCCAGGGTCGGAGCTCTGACGAACCCTCCGCTTGTCCTATTATGGACACTTATTTGTTCTTAGAGATATTCACGTGCTTGGCAACTGACTTTGATAAATGGAATATTGAGAGCTATGTCCTTTATGTTGAAAGTAACTCACTGAAATTTCTCGGAAGTTTCATTGGGCAAAATGATTTAAGAAACTCGTTATATGGATCATTCGTCAAAATATCATCCAGTACTGTGTACAAATAACATTATATAAGACACATATTTTTTCCCTTTTTGTTCTCGAGAACTTTTATATAGGCTAGCAAGAGCTCAGTTCTAAATTCCAATTCAAATATTAAAATCAATAAAGTCTAATTATACATGAACTTACCCAAGCTAATCAAAAACATAGAGATCTTGTTCTGTTTGATAGTTGCACTTCCAACCCTCCAACAACAATCCAGTCCATATTCTATGCATCTCAATAATCTAATCCACATCTTAGTCATCATAGAATTCCATCCAGTCCCACTCCGGACGTCAATCAACACATGCCGCGTCGAATCTCAATTCAAATCCCATAGACGCTGTCAGACCACAGTCATCGCTCAATCAAATTCCAATTCGTACCAATGAGATTGCTACTAATTTAACGTTCCCAATCACGGTACAATCTTGTCAAGTGACAGCCATAGTTCTAACACATTTACCCCCCGGCCCTCCCAATTTTCGCCATCACCCGTCTCATGGCTCGCCCCCCTACTAATTGCCAACTAATTATCGAGAGCTCCGCATCCTAGCCGAGCCACTTTACCGTATTAGAACGCTAACAGCCAGCTATAACTGGGCAGGTCCTAATTTCAACTTGTGGCTGGTATTGGGACCGTGTTTAAAGTAGTTCTGAACTTGGGGCGATGTGCAGTAACGGTCTTGTTAACTGTTTGATAGTTATTTTTATGGTTTGTCTAGTAGCAAAATGTGAGGCTATGAACGTTTATATGAAGAAACAAGTTAATTTTTTAAATAATGTTTAGTAGATAGATGGAAATATGACTAAACAATTGAAATTTGTGTTTTGTTGATGCGTAAATAAATAAGTTTTAACCAAAATTATTGTTCCAGCCAATGCTAATAGCAAAGAGGGAGTATCCATACAATAGATGGGAGCCTCTTTACTTTGGTACTAATAAAGAGCCTTGGTACAGCGAGTCTCTGTGTTGGGAAGGTTTCCAGGACAAAATGACGCAGGTAACGTAACACTTTAGAGACTCCAAAGCATCCCTTAATGGATTTTTGAAAGGTCTCCCAACGATTTTTCATTAAAGCGTTAGGACCCTTTTTGGTTAAGTAAAAAAAGAGGTGTATAAGCCCTTCGTAATTTTGAGTTTAAAATGTTCTTGTTAGTTCAGTTACTTTAAGCAAAGTTTTAATATTGATATCTGGGTCGGTAAAAGTGCAAGAATCTTTTTTCTTTTTAGATTCTTTGTGCATGTGAAGCATTGTGAATTTGTTTTTTGTACGTATTAACGTATCACACATACTTAGGTTATATGTATTTTTTGTATGGGGAAAGAAAAGATTAAGATTACTAAAATTAAAAATAAAATGCCATAATTATATCTCCAAATCAAACTTCGGTAACTGTAGTTTTGATTTTGGTATCTAAATACTAAATTCTGAATGTTTTTGCAATTTAGATGTTGGAGATGTGTCTACAAAAATACCGGCTGGTGATTCTAGATGGGGGATTTCTTTCTCACGCAGCAGTGCCACGATCGAAGAAACATCGGAAAAGAGATGAAGTTACGAACACGGTAAAGTACGTGAAGATTATCAATTATTTAAAAAAGAAGTACGACGATAGGCAAGGATGTAAGCTAATGTGGGGCTTACACCAACAGATAAATTGATAAAATGTATGCAAAAAGCAACTGAATGAAACTAGAGTTCCTCAGGGAAGTATACTCGGTCCTTCGTTGATTTGAAGGAGACGTAATATTGTAACGTTTTGAAGCGCACAAAACTGATACACCTTTCTTTATTTTAATTAAGAAGACCACGCTTAGTACGCTCTTATTGGTAAATATATAGTAAAGCTTGGCCTTTTTATTGCACAGTGATAAGAAATTTTCATTCAGATACTTTTGTGATCTATCTTAAGCATGTGATAAGTTTCGTATTAAAGTTGTCGGAAACATCAATACATGTCATCTATAACACTGGCCTATACATTCTGTATGCAGATACGATTAGTCTTGATTTAAAGTTTACCGTCAACCTAAATATATGGACAGTGAAGGGGAATAAGCAAGATGTTCTCTTTATTTTTCTTTAAATTTGTTAGTATTATTATTAATATTGACGTGCTGAAGAAAAATAATTTTGTCGCGGCGCCTTGCTGTATCCTGGCGCTTTAGGCCCCTGTCTAGTTTACCTTTGAAATAATACAGCTCTGAAGAAAAATATACCAAATTAGATCACAAAGACATGAGAATAAAAGGACTATGGACAATGTAAAGTTGTTAGTTAGCTGTGATTATTCAGATACATGGTAATTGTACATTTGAATATCAAAGTTGAAACAATATTATTTTAAAGGTATTAAGAATATGACAAACCAAATGTGATAATTATGTTCTTGTTGTGAACTTGATTATTTTATGATATTCTTGTATTAACAAGAATTGATGATTTTTGTGCCGCATATGATTTATTTTCGGCATACATTATTCTAATACTTACCTCGGCAATTCGATTTGGTGTAGCCGTTTACGTATAATACAGCCATATATGTACGTACTATGCGTATCCATATATTTTGGCGATTTATTTTTATTTGTACAAATAAATAGCTGTGATAAAACAAAAGAATACTAAACTAGTATATCACTTGAAATCATGGTTTAAATACGAATGTGTCGTAAATGTACCTTTTAAAAATCTTTATGTTCCTAAATAAATAAATACAGAGATGTTAAACATTCTACGTTTAATTTATTAATGAAATATTTATTCGCGGTTTTATGTAAATTACGGCTTATTTTGTGGTCGTCGCTAAGAATTATTAACAGGCTTTTATTAAAATGTTTAGCTCCACTGGAATTGTTTTTATTTCACTGGCTTTTATAAATTTTAATCATGTTTTATAGAAATTATGATAATTTATACAGTTATTGCAGTGTTAAAGATGTTTATTGAAATGAA